CTAGAGCAGCTTGCTCCACCTCTAGCAATCTCACCGGCCTGCGAGGCACGGACGAGACCGTATGTGGGGTCTAGTGAGGTGTCTATGGACGCGCTCCTCATGGGCTAGCTGCCTGCGGCTAGCCCTAATCTCGCACTCACGGGCAGTGACAATTCAATGGGTGAGTGTTTGCGAGCTGAGGCGCGTGGGCTAAATCTAGGCCGCACGGGTCGTGGCACTATGACGGAGGAAACAGGTAGACGTGCGGCCGCAGCGCGCCCACCACAGTGTCGGTGGGGCGCGCGTGTTAGCAAGAGAGTTGCGGGGAGAGCCATGCCCGACTTTTCGGAGGCGAGCCCCACGCCACGGATGCCAGCCGTGCTTTCGCGGGAGTCGTCTCCCAAGCCGCGTCCCGTCAGCACTGTCCCCGAGTGGTCCCGCCTCGGCGGCACACACTCTCGACCAGGACAGTCCCGCCAACGGAAACGTGTCGCGCGCCGGCGACGATTGCGGCGTGGTCGTTGTGAAGCGGAGATGGCACGACCACCGCCCTGCTTCGCAGACCGGGCAAGGAGGGGCCTGCTCCCGTTCCGCGAGGAACAGGAGGTCTCCCCCCCTCCCCCGGCCTGAGCAGCGACGAGCGGAAGGCAGCCCCGTGAGTCGAGGGCGGCGCGACCGTTGTTCCGCATCGAAGACCAGAGGCCCCGGTCAGGACAGATGGTCGCGCCGCCCCGCTCCGCGCCGCCCGCCCGCCGCGCCGCGCCGCCGCCCGACGATTATGAATTAATAATTAATTTAGAAATAAGTAATCACCCCACCCGCCGCCGCGCCGCTCCGCCTCGCCCTGCGTCACTCGCCCCCTTGCCGCGCCGCCGCCTCGCGCCGCTCGCCGCCGCGACGCGCCACCCCCCGATGATTACTTACTAATTAATAGTTATTATCCTAATTACTAACTAACAAATAAGTAATTACACCGCCCGGCTGGACCCTCACCTCCCCCGACTTAATACACGTACCTCCCCCCAACGGAATATCGCAATACAGACTATTAATAATTAATAACGAACAGACAAGTAATTACGCCACCCAGTTCCGCTATACTCCATCAGCAGCTCAGCGCTGATCGCGCTGCACCTAGGTTATTATGTTGAGAGTCGACTCCAGTCCTCCCGACGTGCCAAGGGCCTCCAACAATTACAGCGAAAAGAAAATATAACGTTCATCAAAGCTGCGCCATCATCAAGGCCGAGCCGCGAGCGTTTTTCGTCAAGCCGGTCGCCTTCGCTCGCATTGCTGTCTGCCGTCCGATACCGATGAAGGCTCTCTTCGCGGGTGTGGTTGCTGCGTCACGCTTCGTGCCCTCGCCCTCGCGGGTGGCGCGGATTCGCAGCCAGATCAGCGACATCTTCCACGTCCCAGACGACTTCCCGGTTGCGAATTTCTACCATGTTGGGCTCGCGCTGTCCTTCCTCTGCCTGACCGAGTTTGCGTACGTCCAACCCATCCGCGAGCAGACAGAGCGCTCGGTGCGGCTGCAGAAGTGGGTAACCGAGAGCGACGAGCGGCGGCGAGTCGAGCGCAGGAAAGGACCTGCAGACGAATCTCTAAACTTTGAGCTGTTCTGCGATTAACTTTAGCGTGCTGG